TTTTTAATTTTAGAGACAGGGTTTCGCTCTGCAGTTCAGGCTGGCCTTGAGCTCACTTTGTAGCCCAGGCTGGTCTTGAACATGCCACTTTCCTCCTGCCTCAGCCTCCCAAGTGCTGGGATTACAGGCATGTGCCACCACACCTGGCGTATAAAAACTTGAAAAACATAGGGGCTGGAGATTTAGCTCAGCGGCACAGCACCTGCTTGGCAAGCGCAAGGTCATGAGTTCGATTCCGGTACCGGAAAAAAACAAACAAAAAAAAACCTTGAAAAACAGAGGGGAAAAAAAAGAAAATGGCATGAACGATTGGGTAAGTGCATTTAAGCAAGCAAAAGTAGTCTGAGAGGGATCCATGGCAATATGTCTCTGTAATAAATTTTAAAAAATTATTTAAACACACTGTGCTTTGCAATCACACCTGCTTGCACAGGGCCTGCACGCGTCCTCCTGCAGATTTCACCTCGAGAACACTCAGGACACCAAGACAGTGGAGACGCTGCGTGACTAGTAGTCACACCGCATCCCTTAGGGAATCAAAGCAAGAAAACTGTCTGTCTGCAGCAGCACCCGGTCCTCACCAGCGGCACCACACTGCGCATAACTGCTGTGGGTTTAGCTTAGCGCTCAGTGCTCAGCCAGTACGGTACTCTGTGGTACCGTATTTTTCTCTGGGATGTTTTTGATCCAGTGTTGGGCGGAACTCATTTTATGGCGCTGCAGGGGTGGAGGAACAGCGTAAGAATGAACAGGTGTGGCCCCGTGCCAATAAAACTTTATTCACAAAAGGAGGCTTAGTGTAGGACTGGGATGGTCTGGCAGCAACCCCCAATCCCATGTGGGAGATGTATGGAATTAGTTGTAATCGCTTTGCAACTTCTGTAGGTCTGAAATATTTTCAAAATAAAAACAGGAGGAATCTGGGTATGGTAGTGCAGGCTTGTTATCCCAGCACTTGGGAGGCTGAGGCAGGAGGATCACCAGGAGTTTGAGGCCAGCCTGGATTACATAGTTCAAGGCCCGCCTGAACTACACAGTACCACAAAAAAACAAAATAAATAAATAAATAGAGGAGTAAGGAAAATAAACTCAAGCCACACTGACAGGTGTATACGCGAAAGGATCCTGATAGGACCTCTGTGGTCTCATCATGCAAACCCATAATCCCAGTTGACCTGACAGAAACATATAATAAGTCCCAAGGGAGACTTTTATTTTTTAGGGGGAGGCACCGGGGACTTAACCCAGCATCTTCATACTGAGCTACATCCCCAGATCTTTTGTTCTGTTACTTTGAGACAGGGTCTCACTATGCAAGTCAAGCTGGCCTTGAACTCACTATGTAGCCCAGGCTGACCTCATACTTGTGGTGATCCTCCTGCGTCAGCCTCCCAGGCTGCTGGGATGACAGGCATGCACCACCAGGCACAGCTTAAAACATAAACTTTTGAAAAGTCAAAGCAGACATGTTGAATGAATGACTAGAACGTTGGCCCTGTGGCCTCCCAGTTGGATGACACTGGCCAAATCATTTCAGTTTCTCTGGGCCTCAGTTTCCCCTGCTGAATGGTGTGAGTGATACAGCTTGAGACACTTGGGCCACTTTTGTCCTTCTGAAAGCCGTGTGAATTTCCAAGGGAGCAGCCACAGGAAGAGCCCCTCAAGCCCGGGAGAGGTCAGAGTCTGATTTTTTTTTGAGACAGGGTCTCACTGTGTACCCCAGGGTGGCCTCCAACTCTCAATGATTCTCCTGCCTCAGCCTCCTGAGTGCTGAGATGACAAGCGTGCACCACCACGGCTGGCTCAGACTCGGGTTTCCTCCTCAAACTCAGAGCCATCCGGCGGAGCTCCGGGTGCTGCGCCCACACAAGTGGCTGGATAACAGGACCTTTCTCCTCCCGACAGGTCGCCTCTCCCCCATACCTCTGCACCTGCGCAGGTGCACGGAAAAAGAGAATGGGGTGAGGCTGGTGACACTGGTCCTAAGAAACCACAGGTGTCTGGAGTGTCCTTTCTTTAATGTCTACCTCGAAAAGCGAGGGAATAAATACAGAAGGCTATTTTCACGTTGTATGCCTGGATCCCAGCCTAGGAAGGCGGGAAAACCCTGATGTGTGCCTCGGTTTCCCTCCTCTGCAAACCAGGACAAGACACTGAGGCTAGCGGCTCTGGAAGGGCTAGCACTTTTCGGCGATCTTGTGCCCTCGCTAGGAAAAGAAGTCCTGCAAGAGTTCACCCACCGAGCCCTCGGGCCGAGAAGCGTTCAGCAAGGCGTTCCCGCCATTGCCCACCAGGGGGCGCCCGAGTCCGCCCCCGAAGGCGGTTTCCGCGAAGGCAGGTGAGCGGCAGCCCAGGGAGCGCCCTATCCCCGCCCGGGACACGCCCACCCGTGCACGTCTTCGGTCCCCGATGTCTTCGCCTTTGGCTCCCCGCGGCGTCCCCAATGGCCATCCTGCTCCGTCTCCTCTCCAAAGCGGTAAACCGAGTCCAGGGAGGCGCTGTGCCAGGAAGAGCCAGGGAGGACCTCTCTGCGAGTGGCAGGGACGTCCCTGCGCATCGGGCGTGGGTCACAGCAGGTTGATCTCGTCCAGGTAGCGGGCCAGCACCGAGTCCCGCACGTCCCTGAAGACCTTGCGGATGTTCTGCGTGTCCGTGGCGCACGTGTAGTGGCTGAAGAGGCGGCGGGAGCGCGGGCCCTTCTTGCTGCCCTCGGAGCCGTCCACGCAGCCCGAGTACATTCCCGTGTACATTTCCAGGATGAATTTCTTGGCGGCTTCCGCGTCCCGCTGGGGGCCTAGGGGAAAAGTGAGTCGGGACCCTCCTTAACTCTGGGGACCCTCGACCCCATAACCAGGGATGGGAGTCACCCAGGAACCACTGCAGCCATCTTTACCGTGGCGGGGCACTTTTTGGCTCACAGCTGGTCACATGACACGGGCTAACCAATAGGATCCTCAGGGATTGGCTCATAGGCATCATGTGACCTGAGGCGGGCCAATGAGTGTCAACTCTGGGACTTTGGGCAGAATTTAGAAAGCGGCTCATTCTCAGCGAGGCTTGGAGCTGCAGGTTTGGGAAGGTGGAGCAGAGAATTTAAGCCTCCTAAGACTGTGCAGAGGGGAAAACCAAAACCAAAGGAGGAGGGAGGCGTCCCCAGAGTCAGCCTGGCTGACCACCCTCGTAGGCACATGGGGGAGCTCAGTGCAAGGTGTGACCAAAAAACCCCATGTTTATATTTTTAAAAATGTGTTACAAAGGCAGACTGCCATTAGCTCCCTCAAAATACACGCACGCCATGCGTAGAACACACTTATCCCCTGGTTCTTGTCACTTTCGGAGGCAGTTCTGCAATCCTCTTTCCTGAGTGTCTTTCGTTGCCCTTCCAACGTCCCGAATGGATTAGAAAGGTTTCCCTTTCATGGTCATGTTGACTTTGGGGAGGAGCCAGAAGCCACAGGATGGCAGATCCCATAAATAAGGTGGATGTGGACACTGTCATGTTTTTAGGAGCTGCCTTTCGGTTGGCTGGCACTCTGCAGCAGTAGTCACTGTTTTTTTTGTTTTTTTTTGTTTTTTTTTTTTTATCACACCTAGTAATGTCACTCAAGAAAGAGGACTCCAGAACAGCTGCAGAAAGTGGCAAGAACCAGGCATGGTGGAGCACACCTGTCATCCCCATACTCAGGAGGGGCGACACGGGAGGACCAAGGCTGAGAGTTCAAGGCCAGCCTGGGCTACATAGTGGGACCTTATCTCAAAAAGAAAAAGAGAAAAGTAATAAGGACAAGCCAAGCGTGGTAGTGTACGCCTGCAATCCCAGCACTTGGGAAGCTGAGGCAGGAGGGTCACCATGAGTTTGAGGCCAGCCTGGACTACATAGTGAGAC